AATTACACACTTTACAAAAGAATCAAATGGAACTGTTAGAGATGAAGACTATAATACAGGAAGTCAAAATCTCTCTTGAAAGTATTAAAAGCAGACTAGATCATACAGAAAATAGAATCTCAGATGTAGAAGAGAAAATTGCTGGCCTAGAAAAATCCACCATGAAGACTGAGAAAATTGTCCCAAAATTTGAGAAGAATATATGAGAAATACTAGATACCATAAAATGTCCAAACATCCAGGTAATTGGCATCCCAGAAGGCAAAGAGACTCATAAGGGCATTGATAATCTATTCCATGAAATCCTGTAAGAAAACTTTCCAAACCTAGAGAGGCACTCAAAGTTCCAGTCCCAAGAAATACAAAGGACCCCAAATAGAGTCAACCCAAGAAGATCTCCAAGATACATTATAGCCAGACTGACCAAAACCACAGACAAAGACAAGACACTAAGACTGGCAAGAGAAAAACAGCAAATTACCTACAAATGATATCCCATCAGACTAATAGCAGACCTCTCATCTGAAACAATGTGAGTGAGGAAAGAATGGGAAAATATATTCAAAATGTTAAGGGAAAAGCAATTTGAGTTGAGAATACTGTACCCGGCAAGATTATTCTTCATATGGGAAGAGAAGACAAGAACATTCTCAGATAAACAAAACCTGAAAGAATTTACAAGCACCAGACCATATCTCCAAAAAGTTCTCAAGGGAGTGCTATGTCAGGAAAATTAAATGTAGTCACACAGAAATAAGAGTTCAAAAACTAAGAAAATGGCCAACTTAATCATAGGGACAAGTCTGGAGTTGAATATTATATCCCAGAATTCGATTGCGAAGATCGAACCACAACAGAAGATGATTATGTACATGAGACTGAATTGGTGAAATAGCGTTCTGTGACTTTTGACTAAAATATTGCTGCTTTGCTTCTAGGCTTTGTTGTCCGGTTTTAAGAGTTTTTGTCCTGTCTTGAGTTGTCAATAGGTTCATGTACCTACTATGTGAACAGAATACTAACCTGTTTCCAGGCTTTAAGTTTTAAGCAAATTTCCTTACAAATTCAAAACTGCTTTTCTTGAAATTACCAGCTGAATTTGCTATTGAAAGTAGTTAAATTATTTAAAAAATTGTGTGATCAATAAAATATGGGGGGGAAAGGAATGGAAGACAGCCGTAGACACCAGAGATAGTGTGAGAAGAGGGTGGGAAAGGGCAGAGGGTCAGACATAGGGGTAAATATATATAAATAAATATATATGTGAAACTAGAAAGGGAAAATTATTGATAACATACATGTTTAAGCCACTATGCAGTATATTCTGGATGGGAAATTACTTTTTGTATGCTGTGATGATGATTAGGGGATTAATGTAAATTAATTAATTTAAAAGAAAGTTTCAGGAGAAAAAAACATGAAAATTATTTTTCTTGAAATTAAAAAAAATGCATATTTGATGACTGCAGTAAGCTATATAGTCCCAGCTAGGTGCTACTTTATAGTATGTTCATTCTACTCACTGAGGTTTATGCCTAAAGTCAGACTTGTGTTCATGGATATGTATATATAAGCTGCACTTGCTATTGGAAGTATTTAGATTAATTAAGTTCATTAGTGAATAAATAAAATGAGGGGAAAAGGGATAGAAAACAACCATGGATACCAGAGACAGTGTGGGAGGAGGGTGAGACACAGCAGAGGGTAAGAGATAGGGAATCAAGGAAGGGGGGAAAAAGCAAAATATACAGGAAACAGGAAATGGAAAATTATTTGTTGATGATAACATGTATGTTGATGTACTTGATTGAGCCAATATACAGTGTATTCTGGATGGGAAATCTCATTTTGTTTGCTGTAATGGTGTACAGTGAATGAATGTAAATAAAAAACAAAAGGGGGGGTGAAGAGCAACACACTGTAAGGTGGCTGAGGACCATCTCATACAACGCCCTGAGAACCACAGTGGCGCACACCAGAGGTAGCGGAACACTCTTGATTGCTTGGGCTCGGGAGACTGGCTTCTCTGGTGCTAGCTTGCCTTTTATTTCTGTTTCCCCTAATTTGCTATAAGGTGCTGGAGCTCGCCAGCAAGAGATAGAGGGAAAGTGAGAAAGCACCTTCAAGGGTGGATGGCCTCCACAATCTCTTCTCTCCTGGGGATCTGGGGCACACTTGCACATGCATTAAGTGTGTTTTCCAAGCTGCTGGTCTGGGACTCAATACACACTTGTGGTATGTATCCCTGTTAACCACCATGCTCCCAACTGGCCAGTTAGACTGTCTTCTAGCTGTTAGCCCCTGGGCAGGTTACTCTACCTTCTCTGCCTAAGCTTCCCCATCTGTAAGAGTCACCTCATAGACCTGTCTATTTAATTTCTTTCTTTCTTTTTCCCCCTAGGTTTTTGCCCTATGATGTGTGTGCTTGATAGAGAGGGAAAGTGAGAAATCATCCTCTAGAGAAGATGGTCACACAGCAATCACTTCTCTCCCAATTTCCACTGGGGATTTTAGGCAGGCATGGAATCGAGCACCTTAACCGCCATGCCACCTCCTGGCCTCCCTATTTCATTTCTGAACAACCAGTACAAGTAAGAGCTCTGCGGTGCCTGGTACACAGTGAGCCTTCCATAACGCCAGCTCTCGTTATAGTGTGACCCAAAGACATATTTATGGGAGAGAGTTCAGTAGAGAGGGGCCAAGAAGGCATGCAGTGTCCAAGATGCTTGCTTGAAGTATAGCCAGAGGTATGCAAATGGTGATGGGTGGGCAGTGATGCCAATGAGCAAAGGCTGGCATTTACTCATTAAGCCATGCATTTCCTTAGGACCAGCAGATGGCATAATTGTTAGGTGGCTGGGCTCCCACATAGTCAACTACAGTTTGAATCCCCGACCCTGCGGCTTCAAACTCATGCCAGGTGCAGGTGTGTGCCTGTATGCCTAAAATCCTGAGAGGAGAATGGAGAAGAATTGCAGCATGGCCATCCCCTTTGAGGATTTCTTGCTTTCTGTCTCTCCAGCAAACACATGCGCTCCTATAGCAAAAACCTCTCTCTTAAAACAAAAAACCTCTCTCTTAAAACAAAAAGCATCCATTCCTTTTGGAGCAAGTATGTGTGTGAGCTAGAGCTGTGGGGCAGAGGTCATCGAGCCATGGCAGTATCCAGGGACTCTAGCGCTGCCATCACAAATCTGGTGCCTCCAGCCCCAGCCAGGGAGCACAGAAACCCCAGCTGGAGGGTCTTTCTTCTTTTTTTTTAAATTTTTTTAAATTTAACTTTCTTTCTTCATTTATTTAAATTTGACCAGAGAGGGACAGAATGAGAGAGGGAAAGTGAGAAAAGCAAGCCTCCGGGTGTGGGACTTGAACCATGGTTGGCCATGTTGGAATCCAGCACCCTTAACCACCACACCACCTGCCGCCCTGGAGGGTCTGACCTTTTTTTTTTTTTTTTTTTTTTTTTTGAGGGTCTGTCTTTGATGCGGTATGGGAGTGAAGGACCGGCCATGACTCAGGCTGAGCTGGTGGGATGTGTCCTCCATCTTCATGCATTTCACGGTGTATGCAGCCCACTCCTGGAACTCAGCTGGCCAGGCCAATACGCAGGCCATAGGCATGGGACATCCTCTTCCCACCTCAGTCCCTTACATGTGCTTCAAAAGCCAGTGGTGGGCTCCTGAGCCTTCACCTGGGGTGCTCAACCGGCTGGCATCTGAGTCCTCTCACCTAGCCTATCATGTACCAGGTTCCACACTACCTCCCTCCACTCACAGTTTGGTTCCACGCTGGGCACCTTGTCTGAGCATCCAGTAACTGGTCTTCCACCCAGTCCCTGTGGTTGGCTGCATTTGGGATCACCCTTGGGTCACCCCAGCTGTCCACCGCTTACCTGGGCCGCACTTGGTACACAGGCCCTCCTAACTCCTCTTCCACCCAGCATTGGCAGCACGTGGGTTTGGCCAGCCCCTCCATACTTGAGATAATGGTGCATTCTGCGTGCAGGCAGGCTGGAGCCTAGGGTGGAGGAGGTGTCAGGAGTTGGGGTGGTGGTGTAGTCTCTCCTGGCTAGGGAGAGCAAGGAAAATCCTAAACTTTGTTCATAGAGGACGAGGGGACGAGGAACGGTGAAAAGAACTAGGTTGGTCCTGCCCGGCTGGGAAGTCTAAGGCGCAACAGAGGCAAGACATCGTGGGGCCACAGGTGGACAGGGAGCAGTCCCCAGCACGCAGACGCGCCGACTTACCCTCCTGGCATTGCGTTTCAAACGGCGCCCCAAGTGAGATCGCACGCTCCCACTTAGAGCAAAAGCCCCTTCCAGGAACTTCCAGGAGTCTCACACCTGCCCTTTGTACAGGAGGACCGGGATCACGTCGTGTCTTGAGTTCCGCTTCTGAGCTCGCTTCCTGCAGTGCGCAGCCGCGAAGAGCTTACGAGCTAGCCTCGTGGGTCCCCAATCCTTTCCTTTTCTACCCTTTGCTCAGATATTTTCTCAGAAGCGCCGAGCACACGGCCTGCTCGGGAGCAGCAACCAGAGAGATCGAAGTCTAGTTGCAAACGCCCAGCCCCACGGACGCCGACCCGCCAAGGAGCGAGAGGGCCGCGGTCGCCGCGCAGGGAGGGCCGCGGGGTTCAGGATGCTCAGGAGGAAAAGCACGTCGTGCCTTCCTCCTGCTGCCTCGGCGTGGGCCCGAGAGAAACGGGAGCTTCGCATTGCCAGTGCCTGGCTCCACTGGGAGGCTGTTCCAAGACGCGACAGAGGCGAACACTCCCTCCCGGCTCGCAGGTGGGAAAAGGCCGGACGGAAGCGAAACTCCGTGCGTCAGCGCTCCGGGGCCAAGCCGGCCGTCCCGCGAGGCACCGCCCCTG